GTTCTTTGGTCTAGTTCTAAAATATATGCGGACAGAATCAGGTTTTAATTTGCTAATTTTTCCCACGTATCTGGCCAGTTCATTCTAACTTTTATAACCATGACAGTTTATAACTATGATAAAAACAAGACCCACCTGGTCAACATAATATTGCAAGGTATATCTTTTTGTTATATTATTATTATTTTTGGACCTGGAATATTGCATGGTATATCAAAAATCCAAAGAAATGCACATAAATTGAGGTGCATAATAATTTTAATCTTAACTTCATATATACACACATTATTATTATTTATTAGAGTAATATTTTTTCTGCTTGTTTCATTAGAAAAAATTGAATATTTTTCGAATATTTTTCTGTGTGGTTATAATGACTACCATTCAATTCTCAAATGTGCATACCCACCTGGAAAAAAGATGGGTGTTTGGATACTTTGAAAAGTGCTTCTGAGAAGCACTTTTCTGTAAATTGAGATAAACTCCTCCACATATTTATCTCGTAGACTAGAAAATCACTTCTGAAACCATGGTTTAGTTTTCATCCAAACACCCCCTAATCTTGAAACCTTTTTGTGGCATCTCATGGAACCATTTTTTGTCCTGTTTATGAAACCCTTTTATCGGACAAATTATAAAAGAGGAAAATATCAGTCCAAGAATTATAAAATTAAGGTAAAATGATTCAGACAAATTACATTAGTCCAAGAAAAGGATAAATTACAAGAATGAAAAAATAAATATTTGATGGGCATTTTCAGTAGCTCCTAGGAAAGAGATCTCAATTTTTTATCCTTATGAAATCCAACCTAATCTTTCGGAGACCTAACCTACCATTAATTAAGGCTAATCCTTACATTCTTACTTTTCTGCTTCATGTCTGGTAAATTTAGGTAATAGCATCATGACTGCGTGTTGAAAGTTCAATGAGAGAGACTTTTTTAGAATGAGTCTGGCATGGTATTAAATTCCTTGTCACAATTCTTATGGGATATACTTTATTGTTATCAAACTAAGATAACATCTATCACTCTCATCTTATTTATTAGGTGCATTTAGTATCTTAATCTTATTTATGGTACATCTCAGTATGTGTCATGATTTTTTTTTTTGTGACACCATCACTCTAATTTTATATATAATGCATTCAACACTCTAAACTATAAATAAGATTATGGTGTTGGGTGTAACTGAACAAGTAATATCAGTGTGTTAGACGTATTAGAAAAATAATATCAAGATGGTAGACACATCTCGCAAATAAGATCAAAGTGCTGAATGCATGTGGGAAACCTTGTTATTATAAACAATTTCTAAAATTACAAGTCACTTGGTGAAACTCCGGTCAAAAAAAAAAAGTCACTTGGTGAAACATATTAAATAAAAAATTTCAGAAAAAAATGATAATTGAGTTTCAAAAACCCAAAAGGTACACGTAAATTAAATAAGTTCCAAATTAGTCATAAGGACTAAATTAAAATTTTAAAACATTAGTAAATTTATAATATTGGTCGCTGCAATTATTATTATTTTTTAAAAGCCACAAGTCACCCTCACCGCCCGGTTGGCCATTGACTAATCATCAAAGCTTTTGAGGACTGGTGGCTTTTTTAAAAAAATATTTGTAACGTGATTGACAACTCTTATAATAATATTCACAACTCAATTAACACCATTAACCTTGTGTTTTTTCAAACTTTTAAACAGAAAGTTTTTCATCATCCGTAATTTGATTGATAACTCTTGTAACGATATTCACAACTCTATTAACGCTATTAACCACTTCATATGATAGGTTTTTAAACTTGGAGAAATTAGAGGAAATATGAATCATGTTAACCTCTTATATACTTAATATGCATTTGTTTTATTAAATTAAAATAGAGTTAAGATGCATCCAGCACCCTAAATTTTTTTTTTTTTTTATAACGAGAAGGTAAACCAAGGCTAATTATCCCTTGTCCATTACAATGATGCTATTGAGCTCATCAGGCACTTGTACCACTGTATGAAAGCCCGGCTGTGCTGTCAAGCTTTTCTTTGCCAACCAGTCCGCTGCTTCGTTCACTGCACGCCTCACATGTTTGATATTTGCACCCTAAAATATTTAACACTCTAAAATATTCTTTTGCTTGATGATGGTTGCACCAAAGAATTTTTTAGAGTGTTGGACGCATCGAAAAAAATACTTTAAGGCATTAGATGTCTAAAAAAATATTTTAAAGTGCTGGATCCATTTAAAAAAATATTTTAGAGTGCTGAATGCATCACAAAATACTTTAGAGTGTTGGATGTACATAAGAAAATATTTCAGGATACTGAATGCATCTTAACCAGTTAAAATATATATTAAATTAATACTATTAATTTAAAAGCCTATAATATAAAGTAGTTAATAGTGTTAATAGAATTGTTAATTATATTATGAATGTTGAAAAAAAAATCCTAGTTAAAAATTTTGAAAAACACATAGTTAATGACGTTAATAAAATTATGAATATTATTTATAAGAGTTGTCAATCATATTATGAATATTAAAAAATTCCAAAAATAAAATAATTGCTGGTAACTAGTGGCCTACTTAAACCTAGCCCTGAGGGTGACTTGAGGCTTTGAAAAAAAAAAAGAAATATTATAAATTCACCAACATTTCAAAATTTTAATTTAGTCATTATGACTTATTTGAATTTTTACAAACTCAGGTCATCTTTTGGAGTTTTAAAAATTCAGCTATTCGAAAATGCAATGGAAATTTTGAAAACTTAGCTTAAATATTTGTAAAACCAGAAATTTATTCCATCTTCAAACAAAGTCGATAATTTATATTGATCAGATATGTCTTCAGTCTTCAGCTTTAATTCTTTTGGATGGAGAATATGCTTTTACAAAAGTTAGCCTGTCCAAAACTTACTTGATTCCACTATAAATTAGTTGCAGTTTAACATGGGTTTTGGATACTATGTAATGTGTAAATTTGTTCTGAAGTTTTTTCTTGTAACTTTGGACATTCGGAATTTTTTTAGGTGAACAAATTTATCCTAAAAATTTAAAATCTTAGTAATCTTGATCATTATTAGTAAAAAAACTAACGTTGATAACAAAAATAGTGACATTAACTGTTAACATTTTTAATAGTAAAACACAACATTGCTATGATTTTAAATTTTTGGGATAAATTTGTATAAATTTTTTTTTTCAGATAACCAGAGTTCCTTGATGAAAACTTTTGGATAAAATTTATATCTTAACCCATTGGTTAAATAAGGAAATCCCATTCATAGTAAAAAAATTTCTCTTATATTTTCAAATGTTGTTTAAATACAATCATTATTAGATTTTCATTTTTTTTTTCACATTCAGTTTTTGTTTACACAAAACTCACTCAAAGTTCCTCTGCCTTGTTAGTGACTCAAAGTTTCCCTCTTCACGGAACAGTCGATTCACTATTTCTGGCTCAAATTCAATTGGGAATTCCGAATTCCAGTATTACTCTATTTATTATTTTTAATTTATTAATTATTAAGTAATCGCACTGCTCATAAGACTAATATCCTAGCAGCAGAGGGGTTTGCTGTTTCAAGATTAGCATTTGAGGTGTTCATATTCAATTTATAATTCTTTAATTTCTCAGCAATTAATTATATATATTTATATATCTTTTAGTTTAATTTTTCTGAGCAATTCATTTTATATTTTCATTTTGGCTAAAAAATTATATATTTTTAAACTCAAAAGTAAAATATTATTTTTATTTTTTCCGAATTAATTGAAAGGATTTTTCACATCAGATGTCTGAATTAAACATCACGTAAATCTCATCTTTGTTATTTCTACTTCTTAAATTTATCCCTCAATTAAGTATTCCAATCAATTGATAGGATTTTATTTTCTTTTATAAAGGATAATTTGTTTCAAACTTTTTTCATGAAAAATCACCTCCTGTGAAAAAATCACTTGTGAGAAATTTTATGATATTTTTTAAGGGTATAAAAATAATTATAATTTGAAAAAATTATTTTTAATTATTTTGAAAAATTACTTGAAGTACTTTTTGAAAATAATAAGATGAGTAAATAAAAATATAAATAAAAATATTTAAATACGTTGAAAAATCACGAAATTTGAAAATCAATAAATAATAAATATTTTATATATAAAAAAAGAAAAGATCATATGAGAATTATTTTTTATTATTGTAACCGTTATTAGTTAATCAATTAATTGTGGGGATTGTTTGCAGTTTGTACTTGTAGCCGTTAAATTCACGCAAGCACGACGCGCATCTAAGTGTAAGTTTACGATATTGCCCCTACACACCAAAACGACCGGGAAGAGCGTTATTTGGTCATTTTATTTAAGGAGCCAAAGTTCCTTTGCGCAAATTCGCATCCGTGTCTCCCTCCTCTCCAGCTTAGTTCAGATCTCTCGTTCGTTTACGTACTCATCTTCTTCTTTTCTCAAAGGTACGCTGCTTCAATCTCTTGGAATTTAGTTTGCATCTCTCATATCTCTTTAAATTGAGGACATTTTCAAAATTTCGGGCTTTGATCTCTTCCCATTTGAATTTTTTGCTTGTACCCCTCAAATTTTGAATATTTTGCATAGATCCGAATTTTGATTGGGATCTATGAAGTTTCCATTCTGTGAACTGACAGCCTTCGTCAGACCCAGAATGATACTGTTTGAAAGGCAACATTTTGTTGCTCTGTTTGACATCGTTCAACTTTGTAGTGGCTGCATGTCATTTTGGGTTTTGGAGGGGGGATTGGACGAGTTTAATGATATTTCTTTCAATTTTTAAAATCTTCGTTGTCCTATTTTTTCTCCTTTTCTAATCCCTTTTAGAATAAAAATGGTTTCTTCTGGTTGTTTGTTAATTTTGCATCTATTTTATGCTAACATACTTCAGAGTTGTCTTTTGCCTGGATCTAATTCTGGAAATTTGTTTACTTCAAAGAAGATTTGATCTATTGTATGAAGATCTGTCAAGATTCTGCCTTGATCTGTTGAACAGTGAATACCACTATGATTCTACGAATCAATTTCTGCAAATAGCTAATTTCAAAGGATGCAAGAGTTTAAATTGTAAATAACGAATATATGAACTCAAATTAAGTTTTTATCCTAGCTGAATTTATTGTTCTTTGCCTATACCCCTATCTTAACATGTGCATGTTTTTGCTTTGATTGAAACCTCAATGGCTGCTTCGCTCTATGACGTCTGATGATTGGCCTTTGCCCTGTACTAAGTGCTTACCTAATATCGTAGTTTTTGGACAAATAATAATTTTTTTTTTAAATAGATACCTTTTGGTACGGCATTTAATTGGTACTCATGGGAACAGTTGTTGAAGCAGCAAACCAGGTATTTTTGTTCCTTATGCACATTCACTTCTAGCCCTTCAGAAATGAAGATCATTCTTTTGAAAATCATATTAAATTGAGGAGAACATTGTTTTTCCTTCTGCCATATAGAATTCTTCAAGTTTGAACTTTGTGAAAATCCCCCCCCCCCCTATTTCCTTCCTTTTTGTTAACTCATGTAAGTGGTTGTTTAGTTTCACTACAAATAATCATTTTTCTTCTTTATAAGACAAAACTCTTTTCACATATTTATCTCGTGCAGCATTATATCACTTAAGATAAGTTGATCCAAACTGATACCGAATCTCAGACATTTGTATTATCATGTTTCGGTTAGATGCCATGGATTATTATGTTGCTAACTCTGGCAAATTATAGTTTTGTTACTTACTATCATAGCAAACTTCAAACCTCAAATAGTCTGTCGTTTTTGTTTTGTCATTTATTCTATCATTTTCCTGTTGTTAGATCTGGCAGGTTATAACTTCGTTAAACTCAATCATATCAAACTTCAAATCTCAAATATACTTTGTCATATTTTTGTCAGCATTTATTTGATCTTTTTTTTTAACTCTGGCAAATTATACCTTGGATACTTACAATCATGGCAAACTGAAAACCTTGTGTTGTCATTTTTTTTTTTTCTGCTCATCTATTTTATCATTGTTTTGCATGATTAATCTTAACTGTTCCTTTCCCTTTTTTCCCTTTTGTTACTTTTACTTTTTGGGGTTCTTCATTGGCTCATAGGGTGCAAATGGAAATGCCGTAGAGAAAAAGCCTACAGTTGTTTTTGTGTTAGGTGAGCACAAATTGGGAGCATTCAAATGATGCAGTTTTTGTTTTGCTATTCTATGGTTGACTTGGGAGAAATTCTGACCTTTCTTCTTTCTTTATAAGCTTTTGAATTGATGTTGATTTAGTCAAGCTGATGGCTCACTAAATTTCTGTTTGCAAGCTTCCTTCATTTAATTCTTGAACACACAAAAGTCTGATCTGTTAATTTGAAGAGATCAGGTTGTAAATATGATCAATAATTTTGAAGACCATAAAATCTGTATACTGAGTAAATTTCCTTTTATAAAATTATTTCAACCGACTTAATCAATATGTTTTAATGGGATTTGCATTACCCTCATTGAATTCATCATCATTATTATTTGGAATTAAAATCGTAGGGCACCAAAAGATTTATGCATAGGCTTGTCTTTCTTTAAGAACTCAATAACTCTCTTAATTAACTTGGGTAGTAGTTTCAGTGGTTGTTGTTCTTTCAGTATCAAAACAGCCTATACTTCCTTCAGATAGTAGCAATGATGTAAGACCTTTAGTTGCTATGTAAATTTGGCATCAGAACTTCCGTCTTTTTGTGGTGTAATGCTACAAATAAGATGTTGCTTTAGCCTTTAAATAACAGTTTCTTTAATGCATTTAACTTTCCACAAGATTTCTATTTTACAACTATAATCTTTATCAGTTAATTGGTTGAGTAGCTGCAGAAAAATGGTTTTCTTAGTAGGCAAGTATTTTACTTGTGAATTTGAAAGTACATGACTAATCTGTTTTCATTCTAGAGATTGGTATAGCTTGAAAGGAAAAAAATCTGAACAATACACACACACGACAATAAGAAGGTTGAAAGAAAAAGAAACTGATTGAGTTCTTATACATTAACAATATGTTTGAGTGTTTTCTCCAAAAACACTTGAACAAAGCCTAGGGAACTTGGTAATTTGGTGCTGTTTGTCATGTGCTGCCATGTTTTGTGTTCATGGTCAACTGGTGCTCTGACAGCAGGCCACTTAGCACCTCTATCAATCCATGGAAATTTTGGTTCATACTTTCCTGTTTTTTATACTTGTAGAAGGGCAAGAGGAATGCTGTGAATGGTCTATGCATGTCTTACTAGTATTAATTTCCAAAATATGCTCATCTCTGGTTCTGCCGATAATCCTCATCTTAGTTTCTTATTCTTGTGGTTGAACACCAGAGCTAGCCTTCAGAGCTAGGTCTGGCTCAGTGTTATCATTTAATCTGTGGATAGATATTTCTGTAATTTTATCTTTGTTTCCATCTGTGGTTTACATTGGGTGCGGTGCAAATTTTTTTATGACTATGGTGTAAGGGGTATCTGTAGTTCCTTTTGTTCAGTTGTTTTTCTTTTCCAAGATTGGGACTTGTTTTTCCTTCTTATGCTCTTTTTTTCTTCATTTCCTTATGTTCTTATTTTCTTCGTTGGAAGTTCTAGTGGATGATTTCTGACTTGCAAATTTATTATTATCTGCTGATCATATAGGTGGCCCTGGCAGTGGAAAGGGTACCCAATGTGCAAAAATTGTCGAACACTTTGGGTACACTCACCTAAGTGCTGGTGATCTTCTGCGAGCAGAAATTAAATCTGGTTCTGAGAATGGGTACAGTTTCTACACTTCTAAAACTAGCAATGAAAGATTTATGGCCCTATTGTGTGGACTATATTTAAAGAAACTCTCTACCTGTCCTTTCTATCCTTAAAATCAATGGTGACTAGTCCTTTTGGTTGTGCACTACCCTTGCTTTTTGGGATCTTGTCCTCTAGCTTCTTTGCGGTTTTCATCTCAGTTTTTTCCCCTGCTCCCTTGTGGGAAGGGAGGCTCATTGATGGACACAAGTGAAAATCTTCTATCTCAGAATTTTTTCCTTTGTTTTGGTCTTATGTGATTTAATTTTCTTTCTCTTATCTAGATCTATTCTTGTTTTCTTTCAGCACTAAAGAATTATTCTTTCATATTGCAAAAAAAAAAAAAAAAAGATTCGAAAGGAGTGTCAAAGTTGTTAATTTGAGTTGTTTTGTTGAAAGTTAAAGCTTCCTCTTTGTTTTCTATTTGGAGGGAAACATTATCAAAATACTTGTTACTTTGATTGGAACGTAGTATGTATGTAAGATAACCTGTCTTCTTATCAAAATTGATTAATTGGGTGGTGGCTTGACCTTTAGACAGTTGCTTGACCTCTTTAATCCACGCTTTTTAGGGAATGTGTAATTGTGCCTATAGTTTCTGTGACAATTAATCTGTATGGCACTTTGCTTTCCATTCAATATGCTAGCTAGAACACACGGATAACCCCACAAAGCTATGTAAACTATGCCATTTAATTAATGCAATGTGTTTACATCTTTGTTCTGACAAAACTCTTGCTGCACCAACGATGCTCTGTGTTCTCAGCAAGTTTCGATTCAGGAAGATGTATATGTGTCTTCTTATAGTGGTTCTCATTAAACCCAGAATGCTATTGTCCTGGGTTTGATCTTAATTGTATAGTTATTTGCTGTATGTTTGACAGTACAATGATTCAGAATATGATTCAAGAAGGGAAAATTGTTCCTTCAGAGGTAACAATTAAGCTTCTGCAACGAGCAATGCAGGAAAATGGCAATGACAAATTTCTTATTGATGGTTTTCCTCGTAATGAGGAAAACCGTGCAGCATTTGAAAATGTGGTAGGTTTTTATTTTCATTACTCAAAATTTCCTTTTGTTATTTTCGTGGGGGAATCAATGTATGTTCCGTTAACTTGCGAAATGCATTGTGGACCTTGCAGACTGGAATAGAGCCAACATTTGTCTTGTTTTTTGACTGTCCTGAGGAAGAGATGGAGAAGCGCCTTCTTTCTAGAAACGAGGTTGATTTTTTCCTTCTTGTTGAATCTTTGTTAGTTTTCAGCATTTTTATATGTCCTTACTCTTGCATATAAATGTGATAAAGGGAAGAGTGGATGACAACATTGAAACTATAAGGAAGCGGTTTAGGGTTTTCTTGGAGTCTAGTCTCCCAGTGGTAAATTATTATGACGCAAAGGGAAAAGTTCACAGGGTAAATTATTTTCCCCCCTTCTTTTTCTTGCTTCTATAATATTTTTGAGTTGTTGCTTCTTTTCTGTACTGAGGGCATACATTTTCATTGTTAGATTGATGCTGCAAGGCCTATTGAAGAGGTATTTGAAACAGTCAAGGTCATTTTCACTCCAAAAAATGAGAAGGTATCCCATTATGTTCGCTTCATGTCAAAAGTTTATATGTATAAATTTCGATTGGCTTCAAAAATAAAATTAGAAAATAGTAATTGCCATTTTTAAGTGAGGATGTATTGTCTTCTTTTTTTCAATACATTGTGTATTATTTATACTAGTGACCTCAAGTGAGTGAAGCCTTGTTGGCAGCTGGTGATGGAAAGCTCCTGATAGGAAAAAAATAAAAATAATCACTGATCATTCCTTATACGTTTGGTAACTTGTATGAACTTTGTTCAGTATAAAATAATGGAAGTGTGCTCAGCTTTTATGATTGACTTATCAATTGCTCTCCCCAACTGGAACGGACTTACCAAAGTTGATACTTCCAACGGAAAATAGCAAACTTGCAAATATATAGATGCTTGTCAATACAGGTCATCATGATCCTGCAGTAATCTTGATATGCTTGACAGCTGGAGAAAAGAAAAAGAGAGAATTATCAGATTTAGAAAGATTTGGAGCTACAAAATATTAAAGATTTACAGAAGTATTGCTAGCCATTATACAGGGCATAATTTGGTCTTAAACTTTTGCTACACAAGCAAAGGAAAGAAAATCCGATGAAGTTTGCATATCTTGTAATCTTGCGGCTTTACCTTTTATCTTCAATCTATACATGTACTGCTTCAATGAAGTTAACTTTCTTTTCACTTGTCTGTGCGAACGCTACCTGAGAAGTGCTTAAAAGGTTGAAGCATGTAACAATATATGACCAAATATCCACAAGAAAAATGAATTCATCTCTGTTACTTGATAGAAATTCTATCGTTGTGTCATTCCAATTGCAAACTTTTGCTGGAATTGATTTTCATCTGTGGCGTCTGCAGGCTGATTGAGAGTATACAAACCCCGGATTTTGTTTGCTTGAAAATTAGAGGTAAAATTTGCACCATATCTTGCTAAACGTCCCATAAATGTTTCAGACTTTTTTTGTTTTTCCTTTTTTCTTTTCTTGGGGCGGGGCGGTGGTTTTGGCCCCTATTACGGCTTCATCTTGGCGCGTTATATTCCCCTTCTCCTTGCTTTTCTTGTTGCAAGACATTTTTTCATTAATGAACCCAATACAATTTTTTTATGATACAAGTAGAACCCTAGTAGGTAATGGAATAATTTTGTCAGAGTATTGGACAAACACTTGTACGGTGATTGGGCAGCGGGCCATCTCCTTCTCTACTTGATTTAGAGTTTAGTTTTAAAATTTTACTTCTTTTGTGCAGCTCTTTACAATTAATGAGGCATTGATTCTCCTGTGTCTGCTTTTAGAATATTCTCTTTTGTGATGCGAAATTCTTATGATCTTGTGGCCTTCATGGGAATATTTCAGATGCTCAACCATTCTGCGTAATACTTTTAAAAATGCTCTGCTATTACTGCCACATAAAGCATATATGTTTGTGGCCACGGTGACTCCCCCCCCCCCCCCCAGTTATCCAAGGTCGGAATAGCATTTTGGTATATTTTCTTGTGGCTCAGCGTTTGGCTTCATATTTAATTTGTGTTGCCTCCTTTTCCCGAAAAGAAGCCAGTGTTATTTAGTTTGTATGCAGATATGAAAAGTTATATATTGCCTATTTTCATATAAAGGAATTTGTCATGTAACTATAATTATAAATAAGAAAAGTGGTAAATAGGATGAATAGGGTTTGCTTGATATTAGTAGGATTTATATAGATTAGGATATCTATTAAGATTTGCTTTTTTAGGACTTATGCCTATTAAAAAAAAAAAAGAGAGAGCATTGATTTACTCTATCAATGTTTCCCCTTTCAGGTATTCTTATTTCAATATATTGCCATTTATACACCCATATCTTTTCCTGTCAAGCTCTTTTAGCTGCACATGGTCACAACCTGCGTTCGTATAGTTTAAAGCACTGAAGGCTTCTGTAAGACTAAATCTCAAGCTTGGCTGCTACCGAACTATATATACAATGGTTGTTTCTATGGGACCTTCTCTTTTGCAGAACATAGATTTTATTAATCCTTGTGTGCATTTATACAGATGTATTGACAGTATACACTGGTATTTGGAGTCTTTCTGGATATCATTATTTTTAATTATCTTGGACTTTAGAGACTGAGTATAGAAATAAATCGTGTGCTCCTATGCTCTTAGGGGTGTTTGGTTTATAGAATTGATTGGAATTCAAAGAATCGATTGGAATGGAAATGGATGGAAAAGAATTAAAAGAAAATGAAAAATTTTTAACTGAGTGTTTGGTTCATACTGAAATTGGAAATGGAACATGAAAAATTTATGTTAGGTTAGATAAAAAGATGTGGGAAAATTGAGTTATTTTACCATATTATTTTTTAATGAAATGATATAATATTATAAAATAACTTTTTTTGTGGGAAAAAAGACAAAATGATATAAATAAAAAATGCTTTTAAAACTTGCACAATAATAATATTATTAAAAATTCAATAAATTATTATGTAAATCAATAAATAAGAATATTTAATTTAAATATAAAAATCATTATAAATATTAAATGATTAAAAAAATAAAATATACTAAAGAGAAAAAAACTCAATTCAAATATGAAAAAGAAATATTTTTATCAATTGAGCCTTTTTGTTGCAGAAAAATTTATATAATATCTTTTAAGTCGGTCTAATTTTGTTTTTAAATCATAACATGTAATATGACTAAGTAAGACCATATCATTTTTATACAATACCCACTCAAAAAATATTTTTATGGGTTAAACTATAATTTTAACAATAAAGTTTACCCTAAAAGGCACTCAGCACCATAATGTTTACTTAGGTGCAAAAATATATATGAAGTTGTCAAATGGAGGCATTTAGCACCAGGTTGATAACGTCCGTTCGTTTACCGTTAGAGGGATCCACGAAGTCAATTTTGAGGTGCATTTTTAACAACAAAGTTTACATCAAGGAACACTAGGCATCATGAAGTTTACTTAGGTGCAAAATTATACATAAACTTTCTAAAAGAAAAAATAACAAAATTCTTCAACTCCTATAAACGTCTATTTATTTTATTTTTTTGGATCCCACCAAATTTTATATTTTCTCTCCATTAATTTCTACTTTCAAGTCGATCTATCTTTTCTCATCATAGTCAACATGCACTCTCTTTGTCATGTCGTTTTCTCAGCCTCCAAGCCTTTTATATGTATTTATGCGAAACAATGTCTTTCCCTTCTAGGATATGAGGTTCATTGCTTGTACCTAAGTACTACCTCTAGTCCTTAATGTAGGACGCGATAGACTAATTTGAGGAGATTTAAAAAAATTAAATAAATTACTTTAAAGTATTATATTTATCATTTTTTTCCAAATTGATTTGTTTCACTTATAAACTAATATATAATCAAATGATGCATATAAATATTTTAGAGAGATCATGTACTATATGCTATATTTAAGTAGTTGTTTTACTTCTTTAATTTCTTTTTAAATTTGTCCATTATACTAAGGAGGAGAGGAAGTAGGAATGAGTAGAGAGAAAAAGTGATATTTAGTAGGATCTAACAAAATAAAATTAATAGACGTTTATGAGAGTTGGAGAATTTTGTTATCTTTTTTCCTTGTAAAAAGCTCATGTATATTTTTGCATCTAAGTAAACTTCATAGTACCTAATGTCCCTTGATGTAAACTTTGTTGTTAAAAATGCACCTTAAAACTGACTTCGTGGGCCCCTTTAATGGTAAACTAATAGACGTTAACAGCGTGGTGTCAGATGCCCCCTTTTGATAATTTCATGTATATTTTTTGCACCTAAATAAACTTTATGGTGCCTAGTGCCCTTAGAGTAAACTTTGTTGTTAAAACTGCATCTTAACCCTATTTTTGTTTTTAAAGTTATGTGGCATGCAACAATACCCATTCAAAAAATATTTTTATTTTTAAAGTTATATGTCTAGTGAAATTTAATATAATAAGAAAAGAACTAAGTAAATTTGAACCTGATGCGGCAAATTCGAACTTTTTTGCATTAAGTCAAATTTACTCCACAAATTCCAATTAACTTGCACTCTGTCATGCTCTATTTTTTTTTTTCTCCCGGCGAATAGAGTCAATTTTTAAATAAAAAAAATTATGACATATTGTAAACACTCACATTTTCCCAGGTAACTTCCTAGTCATGATGGAAGAAAAGATGAGAAATATAAGGGACATTCTCCTTAGATAACCTCCTAGTCACTATAGAGATAGAGGTTTAATGTTGAAATTTCAAGGACGAAATTTTTAAAAGAGGGAGGAGGAGGAAATGTCACATTCCAATCTTTGGGTCTAGAAACCTACAAAATAGTCTAAAGAAGATAGGCTACCAAGCCCCTTTAAGCAGAAATTCCAAAGATGCGAAAGGAAGCTAGAATAGGAATAGAGACTAAACTGCCAAGTGAGAGAATCCTTAAGGGCAAACATGTAAATAAAGTTAGGGGGTTCCAGGAGACTCTTAAGGGCTCAGAAAGGAAAAATAGGGCAAAAGTAGGCCTAAAATTGAGGTGCAAACCTCAAAGTGATGATACATGAGGTTAAGCCCAAGCAGGGGTAGAACCGTATTTTCAGAAAGTTATAGGCCAATGGGGGTAATTATAAAAAGTATACCAAAAATTCTATAAAAATCCCAGAAAATGGGAAATGGTGTATAGAGGCCTTTTGATGAAGATAAATGATGAAAATACCCCTACAGTAGCTTTAATGGAATTTTCAGTATAGTAGCTCAGTTTAAGGTAATTATCTAGATGCAATTATTTGATCCATGAGGAGGCCTGAAAAATGGGGAATAAATAGTTTAGAGGCTAAAGAAATTTATAAAATTAATTTTATCTCCAAAAGGCTAGCAGAGTGGCTTTAATAAAATGTAAAGTTCGGTTATTCCCTTAAGAAGCATTTTACGAGAAATTCAAAAAGAAATAGTTAAAGGAAGAGTTATGGCCCAAGAAAATTTATAGAATTTTCCTATAATTAAAGGAAGTTTATGGAGCTGATAGAGAAATTTTCTAAGCTCCAGAAGGCCAATAAAAAGGCAGGATAAATGTGAGCCAAGTAAATTAGGAAGAGACTTGGAGTTCAAGTTTGATCCAAGGGTCAAGATCTAATCTTCTCCTTTTCTCTCCTTGAGATTTCACCACATGGCATGGTGAGGCAAGAAAGAAGTTTGATGATGTCAAGGGTATGATGTCATAAGGACACTTGGCAAGTTCTTGTGGAGGAAGACTTGAAGCTTGGACAAATGGCCTTTGGAATGGTCACATTTTATCAAGGGTAAAATTGGCAACCCTTGTCATAATTTGGCTATAAATACCCTATTGGAATAGCATTTTGGCAAGCATTTGTAGACAGAAAACTCTGCAGAAACTTAGAGAGAAAAACTTAGGGATGAAGGCTAAGAAGAAGGAACAGGATTCAAGCTTGAAGATCAAGATATGTGATGATTCTAGTATCTGTTTTGATGCTTATTTCAATTAAGTTTATGTTTATATATGATTTTGAAATTTGGCATGATTAAGATAAACTCCCTAAGCTTTAAATCTATAGGTAGAACACTTCATTTGGATATATGTACGATTTATGGTGATTTTTCAAAATTAGGGTTTAAATCTGGAAACAGTTTTTGACCATTGGAACAGTAGAAAATTCCATACAATTCTGGCATTGTTTCGCACCGAATTGGTTCCTAAAACTATTTTTCATTTAAAGAGAACTTAAGGAGCTTTCAATAGGAGTTGGAACCATGCAATTTCGGTTTTTTTGGAATTAAATAGGAATTTTCAAATTTGTGTAAAAATTCTGGAAATACCAAATGAACAGTACCCATGAAGCAAAAATTTCAGATTTGATCTTTTTGAATCTAAGGTCATCCAAAGTGGTGTTACTAACCGAAAAGTTTAAACATGGAAAATGATGAGACTTATGTTAGAAATATGGCTAAAGGATAGAAAAGCTAGAAAGAAAACCCTAAAATCAAGAGAAAATGTTAAGTTCAAGAGAGCTAGTCTTGAACATTATGAAATCTCTTAGTCCTAATAGATTGTATGATCAATACGGCCGTGTTTAGAACCTTGGAACATCCAAGAGGATGTTCTGATGGTGTTGACCGTAAGCCCTCATGGTTGGGTAGTCAAGAGAGTCAAAAGAAAAGCAAGAGGAAAGCTTATGGTACAAGATAGTGAACTTACCTATCTTATGTGCTTGATGTTTATGCTTGTTGTGTTGATTTGCATGATGCTAATTGTAATGATATGAGCAATGTATAAGTGATGTATGTTTTGTCTCTTGATGATTTGATGGCCATGTATGTGTTGGAGACATTGAGCATAAGATTAGATCACTAAATTGGCATAAAGATAATCAAGGAAGAATATCATACACTTGCATTCATCTTGCATATATTGATGGTATTGTTTGCTATTGAGATTTTCTTAAATCTCACCCTTCCCTAACTAACCATTTAGGTTAATCAATGATGGGCAATGATTACATGAAGGAGAGTATGAGAAGGAAGGAAAAGAAAGTGTAGAATCATTGATGTTAATGAATGAGACTAAGGATTAATGTATAATTCTCCTATTATGTAAATTATATTTATAAATGCCAACGATGCAATGTAATTGATTAGAATGTTTATGGCATGAATGAAAATGTATGAAAATGAATGGAAAAGAATAAGGACAAGTTATGCATGCCAAAAGAATAAAAAGAATTAAAGTAAGAAAAAGTAAAGAGAAAAATGTAGGTCCTGAAGTAGTAAGTTTCGAGGTTTAGTTTGACCTATCAAATGCATGTTTGACCTATCCAACGTATGAATTTTGGCAGGCTTATTGTGCACATCCTAAGCTTTAATTGCATAGGTAGTTTACCTTAGTTGAATGTGTATACTAAGAGATATGAATTTGCAAAATTGAGGCAAGAAATCTGAAAGTTCCAGAATTTACTAAATAAACAGTAATCTTTACAGATTAAACTGTACGAATTCGGAAGAGATAAGTCCAGTTTGATATTTTTCCTTTAAAGAGCACTAAAAGAGGTTAGAGTAGAAATTTGGACATCTCCATACGATTTTTGTAGAATTAGTTATGATTTTTCAAAATTAGACTTGCAATATGAAAATATGCACAGTGAATAGTAACTTGAGGACTTAAAGGAAAATTT